ATTTTGGAGAGCACAGAGCTGGTTTGGAGACACTGGAAGGGGGCTCTGACTGGGGAGGCTTCTCCATCTCTGAGTGGTCCAAGGAGCACTCTGAGGTCCCCAAGGAGCTTGTGGTGGCCATCAGGGTGTGAGAGGAGGTCCTGGAGCAGCCCTGCCCCGGGGGATGAGGTCACAGAGCAGTGAGGTGACAGCAATTTGACAGGATGGCTTTGGTCCTTGTGGGTGCAGGAGGAGGTGGAAACCCAAGGAGGTCAGGAGGAACAATGTGAGCACTGGGAGATATGAGGGATGACTAAGAGAGCTAAATTTACAGAGTCTGGGAGAAGGCAGGCTCAGGGGCAACTGTGGTCATGGGCTAAAAATACCTTCAAGGTAAGAGTATAAATGAAGAAAGGGAATTACGTGTGGTCCCAGAGGAGGTGAGGGCAGGAGAAGGAGCTGGAGGGCAATGATGGAAGCATGGAGAGCAGAGATGGGGAAGGACACGTGGCCAGTGGGGAATTTGCCAGGAGAAGGGTCTGTGTGGACTGAGCAGGACAGAAGCAGAGCAGTCTAAAGGTGACAGGGAAATGGGGCTGGGTGCTGCTCCCTCTATGACTTCATTTCAGCTTTGTGTGTGCTCTGAGTGTAACGCAATTTAATTCAAGAGAATTCATCTTAATTTTCCTTATTTCCCCCCCCCACTTGCTTCTCCTTCCACATGCCCAGTTAAGCAGCTGTTCTTTCCAAAAAACAGTTTTCCTTAGAGTCAGGCCTCCACAGCACAAATTAATATTTAGACCTCAGCAATTTTAATCACCCTTAGGAAGAAGGAACATAAATTTCCAGTTAAGAATGGAGCATGTGTGTCTCTCAAGTCAATTCGGTGTAACTTGGGGAGATTTCTGTTCATACAGTCACACACTTCCAGCTGCAGCTCAAGCTGATCTCATACAGCAGGATTTGTACCAGGTTTTTCTGGAGCAGCATCCAATGAGGTCGGTGCTGTCTAAGAACAGGTCAGGAAGATGGATGGTGGCACAGAAATTTTGCATCCAATAAATATGTAATATAAAATAAGCAGCTCTGTCAGCGGCAGGATGAAGGGAGCCTGGTTTCTTTTTATCAGCATGTCGCTTGCAAATTCTGATTGAAGATTTTTAGTGGCTGGGAGGTGTGGCCTTCTCATGGGCACCTTTCCCTGTGCCTGGTAAAGAAGAGAATTTAGATAAACACTTTAAAATCCCTTTTGAAGGGGGAAGAAGGAACCTTTGGGAAGCCTCTGTCTATCAAGGCTTCTAGTTTTGATGAAAATTGATAAAACTTCATTAGCATTGAAACAGATGACTGTCAGATTTGATCAGAACTGGAAAACCATCTGGTGCATCTTCATTTCAGGTGATTAAAAAAAAAATAAAAATCAGTGCTGATACTGTGGTTGTGACTGATTGCCAAAAGCAGCCTTTGCTTTCTGCCCACTTTGAACTCTCTGTCCTTCTGCACCAGTGTCCTCACCACCCTGCAAATACTCTGCAGCTGTGCCCACATCTCTTCATCCCAAATGTGGGCTGAGCATTGCCTTCTATTCCGGCCAGAAATGTCACACTCACCTTTCTCCTTTGGAAATAAGTAGATTTCTCCATTTGTGCACATGAATTTTCTTTCCTACAGCTTTTTTTTTTCCCTGAGGACTCCACCTTATGCTGGGGAAGCATCTCCTTCCAGGTCGAGTTCCTTGTATGAACCAACCTCTCTTGGGTCAGGGCTGCTGGTTCCAAAGCCAAAATTGATTTGGCACGTGTTGGGAAGAGTCAAGCAGGGAAAAGACACGAATAATCAATAGACAGGGGCTCTTGAGGGCTGTTTTCTGCTCAGAGAAGAGGATGGGGGTGGTGGGAGGTGAGGGGGAGCTGAAGCAGAGCGAGATGGGTGGACACTGGGTGCAGAGAGACCGAGCTGTTAATGTCTTTTCCCTTGCCAGGTTAGTGTTGCTGGGATGTTGCAGCATCCTGTACAAGGGGAGGTAAAGCCATCTGCTTTAGGGTTTGAAAATAGCTCTGGGAGAGAGCTGTGAGTGACAAAACCCAGGCTATGGGTAGCACAGTTCACACAAACCACCAGCTGGGTGGGGATGGAGAAAGGGCTCTCGTTCAGTGTTTCAAGCAGAAATTTATCCCTGGAGTCATTCTACATATTTCACACCAGTCATTTCTTACTACATCTCAAAAAAAATTGCCAGGGGACAGAGCATGGACTTTCTATATCTTAACATGGATTGATAGATTTCATCCTCCCTTCAGGGTCTATGCTATCTGCTATGATGTTTGTGTTTAAAGTCATCACCAGTGTTGAAAGCAAAGGACTGACTCAGTAATTCTGTTTGTTTGTGGAGACATAATGTCCTTGGATCAGATAAAAGCACCTTCCCACTGCTGCTTTTATATACCTCATTAATTCCCAGTGTTAATTGCTGTGTCTTGTCTTCTGCCACCCAGCAGAAGTGGCACACAAGTGACTTCATCTCCAAAATCCCCTGCTGCAGGCTCCGTGCAGGCCATGACAGCTCAGTGTTTGTGTCCCCCAGACTGCTGCTCCTCTCAGGGCTGCAGCTGGCCAGGCACTGGAGCCTGGATCAAGGGACAGCTCCTGTGAGTGGCATGTGGGGGTGGAAAGGGGAAAGCCATGTGCTGCAACTGGCAGTGCCAACCGTGGAATATGATAAAAAAGGAGTTAGAGATGCCCTAAGACTCCAAGGTAAAAAGAAAGGGGTGAGGTTAGAACAGCCCTTCATCCACAATTTCAGGCCTTTTCCACCTCCCAAAGACCACACAAAAGGAAGCAATCTTTGATGCCATGTTCTCTCAAGGTCTTGTTTGTCTTTGAGGTTTTGCCTCCTCCTTGAGTGAAGCAACAACCCCTGACAGTCCCTAGAACCACACTGTGCCCTTCCTCAGCTCACCCATGACTTGGAAAGGGTGAGATTCCACTCCTTTCCTTTCCCACTCCCAATTTCTGGTGGTCTCAGAGATGCAGGATACCCAAAGCTGTGCTGCAGTGTGACAGACACTGCAAATGACCAACTAATTAGGCAAAGAGGAGTGTGTTGAATTTAGATTCTTCTTTAGGGCTCACAGACTATTTGTAATCTTGAATTTGTTAATTGAAAATTGCTTCCTTTGTTTGTTGTTGGCCTTTCTGTGGAGGGGGATATTTCCTGCTTTGGGACTGCGTCACTGGATCTATAATAATGCACTTTGTACATTAGTGCCAGGCACATTTGTAATTGGCCACCCTATTAAAGAACACTAATGATCTTACAAGTGTTCACAAATAATGAATAGAATGGCCCCTCATTGAATTGAGCAATTTATTCCCTGACATACTTGCAGATCTGTTTTTCCAGTATTTAACCCAGCTTTAGTCCTCTGCCTGCCTTGCAGAGATGGCTTCTCTTTCAGCCATGTGTTGGAGAGAATATGGGTCACAGGAAACGTTCTGTTCATGAAAAATGTAGGGCTGCTCCACGCTTGCTCTTCTCTCAACGTGCACGACAGGGTTTGGGGAGTGAGAGGCAGCAGCTTTAATCTCAGTGCTCCTCTTATCCATTAGTTCTCACTGGGATCCTCCTGAGAAATTAGGAGAGGACAAAAAAGCCAGGACTTGAGAAATGCACTCTGAAAGGTTATGTTGATTTACTAATTTAAATATGAATTTCAGGAAACTCTGGCAACAATACAGAGCAGTAAGATTGGTTTTCCAACGAAACCCAGCCCTGGGTGGCTCCTGCAGCCATAAATCTTCGGGCCACCATCTTGCTGCTTCCCTACTAACGTTGTGTCGAGGTATTTACGATGAAAGCAGCATCTTACTTGAGCTTGCGATTTAATTTACATGAAAAAGGTTTGTCCTAAAGCCTTGTTGTACTTATAAAGAACATGCAGAGGTGTGCAGTTCACAGATCACCTGCGATTTTTTGGGTTGTAAGGGACAGAAATGTCACTGGGAATGAGTTGGTGAGCTTGGGCTTGATTTTATTTGATTGCAGGTCTTCCCACTGCAAAGAGCCCTTTTCATGGAGGATAATTATGTGGGGCAGGCACCTCTGTCCTATCTTCTGCAGTCTGCTTGTCTTTTCCTGAGTCCAGTGAAGGGGTGTCAGGAGGAAATATTCCTTGGGGCAGAATCCAACTGTGGTGTAAGGGGGGAAAATGCTGCTGCTGGACTATAAATAGTGGGATGTTAAAGAGCTGATTTGGGTCAGCACATCTGGAGATGGGCTTTCTGTGCTGGGAGCTTGGCTTCTGAACAGCTGGGTGACCATGCCATGGTGCAGTTTTCATGAAGCTGAATTTGGGCTTCCAAAGACGATAGGTTGGACCTTTGGGAAGCACGGAGGAAGGGAATGACTTTGCACACTGGGATTTGAGGAGAGGTTGAGCAGGTCTGCTGCTGAGTGGGCTCACGGAGATGGGGCACGGGGTGGGTCCCTCCTGTGCCACTGACAATGTCTGCAGCCGGTGCCGGTGTGACCACGGGGATGTGCATCCATGGCAGGGCGCTGCCCAGCCCTCCCGGCGGGTACAGGAGGAGCCCCCTCCGAGAGGTTTTTGAGAGGGGTGCCAGAGCCTGATTTGGGGAGCAGACACTGAGCTGGAGACAGAGGGAAGATGTTGTACCTTGATCTGAGAGTGGAATGCCAGACCCTGCTTTAGGGGGGACCTACCAAGCCAAACACTGCTTTTCTTGGAGGGGGCGCGGTCGGACCCGCCGCTTTAAATTTTGTGGGAGGTGAAGAATGGCAAACCCGTATTTTCGGGAGCGGGGGGAGTGCGAGAAGCTGCTGGCGGCGGGGGACGCCAAGGGTTAAGGGGGCGGGCGGCGGCGGGGCGGCGCTGGCGGAGCCGATTGCAGCGGCTGCTGCGGCTTCGGCTGCGCCGGGCGCGGAGCAGCGGCGGGGAGCGCGGGCGGAGCCCCCGCCGGAGCCCCCGCCGCCCCCGGCCCCGCCGCCCCCCGCCGCCACCATGGTGCAGAAATCCCGCAACGGAGGCGTCTACCCCGGGCCCGCCGCGGAGAAGAAGCTCAAGGTGGGCTTTGTGGGGCTGGACCCGGGAGCCCCGGACTCCAGCCGGGACGGAGCGCTCCTCATCGCCGGTTCCGAGAGCTCCAAGCGGGGCAGCATCCTCAGCAAGCCTCGCTCCGGGGTGTCGGGCAGCGGGAAGCCCCCCAAAAGGAATGCTTTTTACCGCAAGCTGCAGAATTTCCTCTACAATGTGCTGGAGAGACCGCGGGGATGGGCTTTCATTTACCACGCATACGTGTGAGTAAAAGGGTGGGGGGCAAACCTGATGGCCGAGACCCCCTCAGGTTCGGGGTGCCCTCCTCCACCCCCTCATCCCCCCAAATGCGCCGGAGAGGAAGGATGCTCCAGCTGCAGAGCGGGTGCGGGGAAGGGATACCGGGTGCCAGGGCTGGCTGGGGAGCCCCGGGAGATGCTGCGGGGGGCGGAGGCTGAGCCGCTCCCCCTCATCCTCTCCGAGAGCAGCCGGGCCGCCCGGCCGGGCCGCCGCTGCATCCCGCATCCCGCATCCCGCATCCCTCGCCCCAGCCCAGGCGGTGCCCGGGGACGGGGCGGTGATGGCCATCCGGGGAAGGGGGCGGGGGGGAAGAAGCTGCCCCTGCAGAGCTGGGGGGTGGCTCCCAGGAGAGGTGCGATGAACCGAGCCCCTGTCTCCCCCTGCCCGCTCCTGCTTGCGGGGGAAGGGGCTGCTCATGCGGTCGGTGCAGGGGGCTGGAGCAGCGGGAGTGATGGGTAGCGACGGTTCCTCCGTCTTGCTTGAAATCACCATAGCAATGCTGTGAGCAGAGGAACAAAAAGCTCCGCTCAGGCACCGTCTCTCCTCCCCCCCCCACCCCCCAGCATCCTTCCCTCCCCGGCCCCATCTTTCCCTGCTGGGTGGCTGCAGTCGGTTTGGGGCCGGGGTTGGTTCTGGGGCTCTGCTCAGGGTTCTGGAGGCATTTCTTGTCCCCCGTGGGAAGCGTCTGGATGGGAGATGTGTCTAGAAAGAAATGCTAATCAGTGTCTGGGGCTCCCTGCCTGTACAGCCGAGCGGTAAACAAAGGAGCATCCCTGGGTGCACATCTCCCCCTGGTACCCGCGTCTTGGGCAGAAATGGCCCAGCTGACCCGCGTTTGGCAGAAGGATTCCCTGAATCTCTGAAGCATTGCTGCATAGGAGCGCAGATGACTTCCCGTTGTTCCCAGGATTGCAAAGGGAGGGTCAAGATAAATCTCGGTGTTACTGCAACTCCCTTCCCTCTGGGACTTTCCACAGTCCCACTGGGCTCTTCCGCAGGCCTGGGCTCAGGCTGAGGTGCTCCTACCCTCGGTGCCAATGTATTTTTATTTTGTTTTTGTGTTTTTCCTCATGGCCAGGGCCTCTGTCAGCCACGGCAAAAGGATTTTTGGGGCCTTTTCTGTTTTTTTCCCCCCTCCATCCTTTTGCTGTTATGCTGCTGTAAGATAAGGAGTTGGGATGTGCTTTCTGCTCCTCAGCCATTTTGTACCTTGGGGCCTTCCTTGGAGGTGTTGGTGGGACCAGTCAGAGAGGGGAGATCCTGGCTGGGTGGAAGGGGGAGATTTGCTGAGCACTGCAGCGAGTTGGGGTCTTTGGGGAAGCTCATCTCCCCAAGGAGATGGGAGAAGAGAAGAGAGAGCATCTGTGGAGCTCAGCTGCAGCTACCATGAGGAGTGTGAAGTCCAGCACTGGGCATCCTGAGCACCTTTCATGCTGCCATCCATCCTCTGCAACTGTGGGTGGTTTGTTTCACAAAACCTTCCAGAACCGTGTGGAGGGGCCAAGTGTTGACGTTGTGAGCTGTGTGTGCACTGAGGGTGGGGATGTTGTGTGCAATGTGCACTGTGTGCTGTTAAATACAGGTGAGACCCCCGCTGGGGGACACTGGGGTGACAGTGGCAGAGATGGAAGGGGCTGAAAGCCAAATGACAAGCAGCAGGGGTAGCTCTGGCTGTGAGTGCTTTCCAAACACCTTTGGCTTCTTCAGCTACTCTGTCTTAACTTCTGTTTGGCTCTCTGTGGTGGCATTTGCTTGGGCAGCCAGGAGTGCTCCCAGGGAGGAGCAGGATCACCCCAAATTGCCCTGTTCCCAGTGCCAGGCTGTTCCCAGTGCCCCTCGGCTCTCACCACGTAGCTGCATGCCCCGAGCCCAAGTACCTGCCTTTGTTCTGAACTTGTGACTCCACTTGTACCTGCTGTGGCACCACAGGGAGCTGTGCAAAACCTGCCTCTGCCCCCACTCCTCATGCACCTGCTGGGAAATGGAGGCTGAATTCAGGGCTGAAGTGGTAATTGCACCAATGTTGATGAAGAGTTGGTGGTATGATTATTTTTTTGCAGTGTATTGGGAAGTTCCAGTTTTCTGTACTATGCACGTGATAGGTTTAGCCTCGGCAGATTGCTGTTACAGTGTTTGAAGAGCTGAAGGATATGGGAAACTTCACACCAAGTTACCAGGATAAACTCATGCATCAGTTATCCCCCCTTGCTGCCCGGGTGAGCCTGGCATGGCCTGTGCCAGGTCTGTGAGTGTCAGAATGGGTTTTGTAACTGGAAGTCAGTAATGCAGACAGACAGACCGGATAAAAAGCTTATTCAAAGGTGTGGGAGGATAAGACTGCCTCAAGGTCACAAAGTTTGTATGGAAGAGCTGAAGCCATTCCCATGTCCTGAAGGCCAGTGCAGTGTCCTACCTGTGCTGTTGGGGACCCTCTGTCTTCTCGTGCCCCAAACCTCACTTTGTGCCAAAGCCTGGAGCACAAAAGCACCTTTAGCCCTCATCCTGCAGGATGGGAGTCGTGGAGCAGGCTGGATGAGGGTGCCCTGTCCTGCCACTGTCCTGGGTTCAGTCAGCCCTCTCCTGCTGCTCACAGGGACTTTCTTGCATGAAGATTTATCTCCAGTGTGAGTTTGTGATGCTGCAAGGCTGGGTTTTATCTCGTAGAGATGCTCACAGACCCAGCTGCCTTTCCAGGCATGGAGCTGCTCCGAGGCTGCTCAGGCAACTCCCTGCACCCAAAGCAAAAACTCTTGGGACTCTCCCAGCATGGAGATGTTTTCATAAATATGAGAGGTGCCTCTGGGTAGGAACCTCTGCTAAATTCCTGTCTGCAAAGGCCCAGGCTGGTTCTGCATGGGGCTGCTGATGCTCTGCCTTGAGATGCCTGTGCAGGTTGCATTTATTTCCAGTGCTGCATCCTAGATTCAATCCTTCTGATTTCATTCCCCACCTCTTCCTGCTGTCGATCATTCCCTTTCACACCATCTCATGCATAAGAAATCAGGGAAATTCAAACCAGGGAATGTCTCACTCCCCCAGCCCCAGTCTCATCTCAGATGTTGCCTCTCTAAAAGCGCTGTTACTTCTGTGAGCAAAAGCACGGTTTTATATTTCTGTGTTATGATTCATTTTTGTACTTAATAGCTCTTCCTACACTGACACAACTGGGTGACCTGCTCTTGAGAGCTGTGTGTATGCTATATGTAATATATAATATGTATTTTGCACAACCCCATGGACAGCTGAGCCTAGTGGGCCCCATTTTTGAGTGCAGCTAGAGGTGGTCGCTGGCTCCCAGAATTCTCAGCCTCCTTTATCTCTCACCTTGCCCAGTATTTCTCTGAACATCTTTCTTTTCTATTCCCTCCACTTTTTTTTTTTTTTTTTTTTGATAGATCCTTTTCAATGCAGCACATGGCTGCATTCTGTTCAAGGCTGAGCTGAAACTTGAAAAGTTGAGCTGTGTCTAAATAGCAGGTCAGGCTTTTTGAGGGGTGCAGCAGCACTTAGATCTCAACTTAGTTCTCTGTACAGGTGGGTGTTTGGCATCCAAAATGTTTCCGTTTTATTAGTCTGATTTTTTTCCTTCTAGACTTTTTGGCTTGTTTTCTGTAATCTGTCCTGTGCTCAGGCAGGGCTTGAAAGTGATTTTTTGTCCGTACCTGCCATCTTATTTCAGGAGAGATCACTGTGTTCTGTGCCAGCCTAAAGCAAGGTGCTTGCTCTGGGCACCCCCATGGTCTGAGGTGTCTGGGGACAGACGGATTTGCTGATCCCTGGGTGAGCTGCTCAGGTTTGGTCCCTGAGCTGAAGAAGGGGCTGCATTTGGAACAGTGGCAAGAAAACAGCCTGGATTCAGGCACTTTTAGAGCTGTGTGCTGAGGAACCAACATAATTCTTGCATTTCCTACGTAGAATTTACAACCCTAATGCATCTCTTTAACCATGTTAAAAATAGTTTGGGTGCATTTTTCATCTGCATACTGTGCACCATACATTTAGTTAATTAAGCAAGTGCATGGACTTAAATTATAATAAGGAGGAACATTTCCTCCCTGCCTAATTCTATTAAAATTTCCTTGTACCATCCCTATCCCATTTGTTCTTCCCTTTCTACCCAGACGAGCCATCTCTCTGCCCTGCCTGCATCCTGGCATGACCATGGCTGGCACAGGGGGAGTACAGAGAGTGGGTGAGGTGCTTCCCTGGAGTTCCAGGATTTCTCTTTGCAGAAATGGCCTCTTCTGTGGCTCCTTTCACTCCTCAGAACTGATGAAAGCATGGTTATTTCACACAGATCCATTCCCAGATAATCTCTCACACCAGAATTCAGGGTAAATGTGGTCTGACATTGTCTTGATTGTCCATCCCCAAACCCTGAGGACTGGTGGTTCATGGCAAGCCCTCACCCTCAGACAGGGTTGTTATGGGCAGGTACAATGCCACCAAACTGTGCCCATCCTCCAGTGATCCCCAGGGACCTCTCCTGGATTCTCCTTCCCACCTCCAGGCTGAGTGGGATGAAGGGGCCAGGATGGACCTGCTGGGCTCTGAGCTCCAGTGCCTCTGCCCTGAGCTGTGGGGTTGTGTCCACCCCAGAGACCAGGGCACCTTCCTGGTGGGATTCCTCACGAGCTCCTCTCCAGCTGCTTAGTCAGAGCTTGGTGGGAGCAACCTGATTTCAGTGCTTTAATGTGTCACGTTCCAGCCGTCACATTCACCCCACACTGACATTAAGGAAATGAAAAACAAGCTGATCCCCTGGGTGACCTCCTTTTTGTGCTGCAACACACCTCAACCAGATGAGTCTTGCTTGGTTTGATGTATAAAAAAAAGAATAACCCAAAACGCAACCCCCAAATGCTGTACTAAAGGGAAGATGGGCATAGCTCAAAGAGATGTAGTTACAAAGATCAGGTTTCTTGATTTTTTAATATTTTTTTTTACATTGCAGAAGAAGGAA